GAGAAACATTGCAAATAGTAAGGGACATCTTAAATAACAGCGATATCGGTACTGCAATATTTTTAACACAGTTTATTATAAATTTAGGTGATGAGAATCGACTATCTTCAATGGGTCAAGGCTACTCAGAATTTAAATGAGATATTCCAAATATGATGTAGTTGTAATACAGGTCGTAGAGGCGTCATGAACTGGATCGTGATAAGTAGAGTGGAAATGGGAATAAAATGTATTGTAGATTTCATCAGCAGATAAAATTGATACGCCATCATAATTAATGTAACTAGGCATTAAATTAGATTTAGATCGTTACTTCAGAAAAGTCTAGAAAAAAGTTTCTTGACCCGTAAGATGGTCTGCCATATATTTTAATTCTACGTAGGTATTTAGTTTTTTTTTTAAATAGATAGGATGATATTTGACGACAGGTACTCAGGGTGCCAGACATTCACAGACCGACACACGATCATTACAAAGCCAAGTTCAAAGACTACCGAAATAATTTATTATATCATTGTACTCAGTACTGGCTCAAACTTAGAACGCGCATCTCGTCCGTTAGCATATACTCGTTACTGCTACTCTTATAAAAAATTAATCGAAATAATTGGCAAGCGAAAACAAATGTTGCATTATGGTAAAGAATAACCTATTAAATTAATGAACCATTGTCAGTCACAGGTTATGGAAATGATAAATTTAATACTGTAATAAAAATTCTGAAATAAATGTATAATTCATCACTCATCAGAGAGGCCATGCGGCAAATATTTAAAGTACTTACCTATAAGGCAACACCGAGAGGTGGATGTAAAAAAAGAGCAAAAGAACGTTTTTATTAAGTAGAAGGGCGGGGGAGAATATAATGAATAAATTCCGTGTAAGGACCCCTCCTAACGCAATTGAAAACTTTTAACAAGTGCCGGGAAATCGTGTGTAAAGGTGGGTCCTACCTAATTACGCAGCTAGCCGAACGGAATACAGGATGAGTTCAGAAATTTAAACGGTGTCTCCTTCGCGCCCACTCATCCCACGAGTTATGGAAATCAGTTTTATAATTGAATCTAGAATTTTCTACACTAGTAACAAAAATCGGAGTTTTTATATAATATCTATATGAAATGGGCATTTGCTCCAAGGCTTGATGATAGTTATACGTTGGTTCGGAAGCGCAAAGTCCTATCCAAATAGTTTCTTGATGCTCCGAACCTTATTTATTTTTCATCAGTGTGAAGTCGAAATCAGGAAGTCTGCATGCTCACTGTAACCACCTCTAACGTATAGTAGGTAATTATTTTGACTGTCAGTATTAGAGGAAATTTCTTAAAATAAAGATCTCACTCCGTTATTTCGTTCCAAATGAACAGTTCTATCACGTTCTGGTATTTTTAAAATTGAATTGCCTCGATTCGTGATTTTTACCCCCCATTAACTTTCCGCGGTGACCAAGTATTAAAAAATTAACAAGATTTTTCCACCGCCATCTAACCGTCTGCGGAGGACGTATTCATTCTTTTGTAACCCTAAAAAACAAGTCATTACCGAAGCGAGTTTAATTCAGCGTCATGTTCTAGAGATTTTTTCGTGATATTCCATTATACGGAGGCGATCGTTCGACGCGGCGCGACGGGCACCGTTTATGCTGAAATGATATGATTAATTACTAGCTCCGGTCTCCCTCATTAGCGCACAAATAGGATCGTTCAATGGTGAAATTGAATCACGAACGCTGGTGTACCACGCTCAATCGCCCTCTAATTATGATTATTATTCATATGGATAAGCGACACCAGTTTTGTACCACACTTTTTGTTGTGTCTGCCCATTTAGAAAACAGTTTTACTACTTGATTAATTATAATGAGTGAACATTATATAATTTAATAAGGAAAATGTGCTGGCTCGTGAAATACACTGCTTTATGTGTTCGTTCTATTTAGATTATTTTCTAGTAAGATAACATAATTTACGTAATAATATGGTGCAAAATATCATAGATACTGCTGTGTTTAAAATGTGTTAGAATATTAGATCGCTGCCCAAATACAGTGAAAGTAGAAAATTAAATAATCTTCTAAGTCTTTGTTTAGTTAACGAAAAATTAAACAAGCCAGATGCTGTTGTTATGGCCGTGATCTGCAAATCGAGGATGAAGGGCGGGTTTTCTCTCCTCAATTGCTGTCACAACTTAATGACAGCGGTAAGATCCATCAATTGACTGATTTGACTGCACCGATTAATAATGAAATTACCGAGAATCTTGATTATATTTTTAGTATTTATACTAAGAGATCGTATTAGCGTCACTATTCAACCAAAACAAAATTGGTGCGTACTTTTAAGAAAATCATTTTTATAGCAAAGATATTATTCATAAGCTATAATTTGCACACACATGACATGGTTGTACACTTTTTTTTGTTAATACATAAATAAAGACAATATCACATCCCATAATCTACGCACAAAGAAATATAAACACGGGTGACGTACTCATCTTTTGTAATGTCTCGCGTCGTAAATATAAATGTGACAAGAGATTCTCCTTTACTGCAGATTTTGGGGATGAATATACAGAAACTACATTTTTGTGGTTCTGTTTTAGGTACAATCGTAAAAACGGCAAATTCATTTACGCTCTGATTTTTCTTCATAATATTTGGGTTATGAATATAGAAAAGTTGGCATGCCAGCACTGTGTAGCAATTGACATAAAAAATGTACACGATGAGACAAAATGGAAATATGGCAAAAGGAACATAATTTTCAGAAGCACTAATAAAACACACTTACTTCCACTTGTGAGCTGTACCTACAATAGCAATTACCTCACATCACATCAACAGCCTTTAATAGTCCACTGCTGGACATAGGCCTCTCCTTAGAAAGAAGGTTTTGGCCTACTATACCACGCTGGCCAGACGGGTTGGTATAGGGTTTGTGTCAAGTTTTCCTTCTTTTTGCAGCAATTACCTTGGTGTATGAAAATAAATCTTTACATACTGAGTGTACTGACTGAGTGCCTGATTCATCAGAACCTAAACCGCTGGGGCTACATACTGAAATTTCAGCAGCTGATGCTTTTTATATTGTAAGCACCCACTAAGAAAAGATTTTTGGAAATATCGGGCTAAAATAAGGGAAACAACAGTATGCAAGTTGGCTATTCGTTCGTTAATCACGCGAAATATCTAGTGTGATATAAACTCGCTTAATAGGATCACGTTTATAAATAAATAAACTATATTGATAGTAGGTATGTGTAGCTAGCGTGCGGTTATACATTCATTGTTACTTAATTAAATTTACTTATAAATATTAATAAGATCTATTTGTATGCCTTAAGGTATCAAGTGTATCATACACATATATCTATATACTATGGGTTTGTAATGTAAATGCTATTCGTATACTTAAAACGGTATTCGTAGACATATCTATTGGCAATGTATACGGACTCGAAGTAATTAAAGTTCAAAACGACGACAAATTCCACAAATATGGATAATTGTTTGAGATTGATAAGATTCGGTTTGGAATAAACTATCGCTTATTATAAAATAATTACGGAAGTGACTCGATTCGATTTAATAATATACTCGTATATTGCACAAAATTGTTTTAAATATTACTGTTCTTTCTAGATATAAAAACAAGAATATCAATGACAGTTTCTAACCATAGATCTTCTGCTCGTGAAACTGCCTGTATCAAAACTTTTCTTTTTTTAACTTAAGATTTGTACGCCACTTGTGACAGAATATGCTGTGATTCCTGATTGTAATTTTTAAGAACTTTGTGCCATATTCATGCAAATAAATGTATGGATTTGATTTGATATGATATTCGATATATTTTTTTTTAAAGACAACTCCCGCATTAAGAATATATCCTGTGTCGCGGGGGCCTTTACAAACATACATGAAACGGACACAAAGAACACCCAGACTCAGAACATCAATTTGTGGATCACACAATGTGTCGTCCCATGTGGGGATCGAACCCACAACATTCAGCGTAGTAGTAAGTGGCGTGGCGAACGCTTAAGCCACTACGCCATCTGTGCAGTCAAATGTTATTATAAATTATATGCAGGATTGAGATATGTTCTCTGCCTACCAAGAAACGAGAACGGTGCTACTTTGTGTATGCCCATAATGTATTTACAAAAAATCACAAACAACCAACTTCACTGTGTACATATACCTAAGTGGTATCTGTACAATATAAAAGTTTCATTGGTCTGTACGCGGACACTTATCGGACAATCACAGCTAAACTTTCGGTAGATGACAGCTGATATACACGATTTATTACTGGTCGTTAAAACATTCGCGAATGTATCTTTCTTCCTATTTCCTTATTCTTCACGAAACAGCGGAATAAAATCCTGGAATTACACTATGAACCATTTTTATGCTAGCTTTTAAAATATATTTTTTCAACATACCACATCTGACAAATTAAATTGATTATTATGTAAAGGTGATTCAATAAAACATGAACAAAACCTATGACAATTAACGGCTGATTGTTGAAGTAGCAATTTGACTTATACCTTTGCACTTTCCCAATTTTAAATAGAATATTACAGGCAACTGCAAAGACTATCTACCTATACTTCGTGATGTAACGTTATTTTGCTACATTGTATTTGAGAAGCAATCGATTATGTTATGTTTAAATGTAAAACATGTTGATTAACATATTTATACAAAAAGATTTTTTTGAAATACATTTATTAAACAACAAAATCATCGCTTTATTCAAATGGTAACTCCGAATTAGGAATTTGCGAATAGATATTGCCGCGAGATCCCCTACACTCATAAACGGCCACCGTTTGAGACTGGTTCTTAATATTAGACCTATTTTGTATTCCAACAAATTCGCCATCATATACGTTGACAGCGACCTAAATCATATTTTTCTAAACGACCATATGTGAATCAAACATTATTTACCATAAAATAGAATATATAGTATAAGGAAATATTTTACCTGTGAATCCTGTCCAATGGCGGCGATCATCGACTCCCCCTCCGGGGCCCAAACAATCCGGATTACCCTATTTATATCACAAGCTTCCACCTAGCTTAGCACTAAAGCCTACACTAACACAATTGACTGCAACAACGATCGGTAACTGTCCTTATCACTAAATAAAACTCTAACATTAGTTAACATGATAAAAGAAACAAAAAATCTCTACAATATGCGAAGTAACAAAAGTACAAAAAATTAGGGGAAAGAATCGCGTTATGACGTTCGGTGCGACTTAAGTAGGTAACTGGCCCAAGGTTCTATCTCGCGTGTGGTACTCAGTGGACCCAAGAGGGGGCGGCGGAGTAGGGCGTGCGCGGCGCGCCGCCGCCCGAGAGCGTCGTGGGCACCGGCGGCGCGGGCGCAGCGAACTGGCTCTCCGCCTCGGCCGCCATGCCGCCCGCGCTGTGCTGCTGCGGGAAGTTGAAGTCCAGCGTGCCCTCCATACTCAACTCGTGTTTTATTACCTGTTCAATAAAGAATATCTGTTATAAAATAAAAACCGCTTAATACCTTAATGCATCAGATTTTTTGTTGTTGACGTGTTAGGTTTTGACTAGAAAGTTTATTGAATATTTAAGTTTACAGATAAACTGGTTCATTCACAGAAAGTGGTGGAGAAAGAAAGCCAGAGATAATGTTTTCAGTTTTGTAAAATATACAAGTCAGAAAGAATTGTTATACAACGACCTCAAAGCACAAATATATCACTGTTAACAAAACTGCAAGAAAACAAATAAAACTTTCATCTTACTTCATCAACATTACAATCAAAGCCGTGGTCCAAAGTTTCAATGTTTAGGTCCTCCGCGAGCCCAGTGTTGAGCGCTCCCATGAGCTGTCCCATAACAGTTGTAGGTCCCATAGCTCCTGTCTGCACCATCATACCTCCGTTCATCAACGCTGCATCCGACGTCGTCACCATTTGAGTCTGATTGGTGTCTGCTAAAATGATATAAAAGTTGATTTATATTAATATGAATTGACTGATTTCTTCTACTAAAACATTGATAAAATTCATTCGAAAAGCTATGAAAAAGAAGACAGCAAGGAGATTAAATGTGTTTTTTTAAGACCTATAGATATTTATTAAATAATTTATACGATTTATACGTTTGCATAGAAATACACTAAAATAGTCAAGTCAACTATTGCTGTCAACATGGGAGTTGGGAATGTCAAACTTAGGAGGATAACGAAAGTCAGTCGATAGCTCTATTTATTTCATAAATTACGTTTATTTTTTGATGACTAAACAATATACAAAATTGATGTATGCATTTTTAATAGTTAAGATTACGTCATATCAAAGCTAGTAATGCAAGCTTTTGCACTAGTAGCTTTACCATCATCTGTTTCATTTTAAATAGCTAGTGACGCGTGATAATTCCCCCAAAGTTAAATAACTAAGTGCTGTAACATTTCATGTCAAAATCATTAGGTATATTAATAGTTTAGAAGAATTATTCATACGCATTTTTAAGCAGACTCGCAAAGACAGGAATGTAAAATTTGACATATTTAAAGGTATCCTTAAAGTTTTAGAGCTACAGAAAGACAAATTTTTAAATAATATATAATATTAAGGTAAATGTTGCATAGAAATAGCTATATCAAGCTACAGGGTCCATATTATACGCCGTGGTATACGATTTCAAATAAAATAAGTCATTGCAAACGGTCTAAATTCGAGCACTAGAAATATTTAGTTGTATTAGGTATATAATACTCTGAAGGAAGAAAACGAGAACGCCGTAAGTTTACCTGTTTGCATAATATCAGCAGGGTCCGCTGGAGGAGGTGGCCTGAAGAGATCCAATGAGTGCGGATGAGTTGGATGCGCAGGATGAGCGGGATGTGTGTATATCGTTGCGCACGCGCATCCGCCTGGTGGATGCCGCGGGCAGGCGTACCCGCCATAGCGATAGCTACCGCCCGATGACGATGTAGTTGGAACGTACCTGTTAGATGGGTAAATATATATATATGGATGTGCTAGTGCCAAAATATATTTTGAACGAGTTTAGGGCAATATCTTTAAAGATTTGCTAATAATTCTTAATGAATTGTTGCACGAAGAATAAATGAAAAACTTGTTTATTAAATATAAACTAGTGTGGCGTGTCTGTAAGTACTGTATTGCTCAATTAAATTTATTTAGCATAAATCTGAAGGTTATCTATTTATAAAATAGTTATAATAATCTATTAATTATTTATTTAAGTAGTCTAAAGTTATTCACAACCTTTTGTATTACAATTCCATTCATTGATTCTTAAGCAGCGTATTGTTTGTATCGTATCTTATGTATTGTATTTAATTCTAGGGAGCTCTAAATAAAGCAAGCGTACTCTAGGCCGAATGCGTTTATGACAACTGTTTTAATAGAGTCGAGGTTGGATATTTGGATAATAACCAAAATTCCAGCATCGACGCGAAGCATACTACAAATTGCTTACGTGCTGAGGAATGGATCTGTTCCGGCCAATTTCATGGAATCTGCAAGTGAACCGGCAAGTTCTTCTTGTCCGAAGTCTGTTTGTGAGTAGTCGTTGGTGTAGTCACCAGCGGGGATGTAATCGGACGCCCAGTCTGATTCTGTTTTGATCAACGACGGGATCGGAGACAGCCGCCCGCATGATGAGGCGTTCGACGATGCCCTCTGACGGAAGTCCGGCGACAACTGCAAAATGCTACGCGCAAGCAAAAAGCGTCAAAAAAACGATAATAACTCAATTGGTAATGGCAATTACCTGGACAAGAATGTCCACTATTATTAGTATAAAATATAATTCTGCCATCAGCAATTGGGTTGCAAAAATTAAAATATTAGCGGAAATAAATCTTAACGCTACGTTGGCTAAGAAGATCCTCTAAGAATCTGAACATTAAATTTATAGGAGCATGCAAATCTAAAGTCTATATCGGCCACTAACATATAAATTTGTATGCTAAATGAAGCGATCACCATAACGGGTTCAGTGGTCAACTCAGAAATATCTTTATTACTACAAATAATGACAAAAAATGTTGGATGAGATACGACTTGTAGTTATTACAGGCCTGCCCTTGGAGCGCTCATCGAGCCATTCCAAAATATATGTGTACGTACTCGTACTCTAGACAAAATAAATCGCCAATAAAAATGTTAAATATGGGCTAAATGACGAGATTCACCATCCACATAACTCATCATCTAATGGTTCTGAATGATTTAAAACCTTTTATCATAAAGTAGCAGAGTTGCTATAACTCAATTTTATTAGTTCGGTCAACGAAGCTTTATGCCGATGCTTTTATTATAGAGTGAACATATCATACATGGCTCACTTTGTTTCTGGTACTCGTATAATTCCAATACTAAGAAAGAACACAGTATTATTTTGTAATAAGCTTTGGATAGTTGTGGTTTTGGCAAAACTCTCTACTGCATTACCCGCATAGGTAACTTATAGGGTCTTTAAAGTCAAATTAGTATCGTAAAATAGCGTCCAAAGCCGTTACCATTATTGGCTTGATGCCACTACTCTTTTGGACTTTCCTATTTTAATCTACCTGTATCATTTCAAGATGGTACGCTACGATGGTATGCTTTTTATTGTAAGCTAAGAACATATTGCTAAGATAAGAATATGATGTACTGTTAATGTTATTACCTGTGCATGGGCGAGTCTGGGAACATGTCGAGACTTTCTGATACAGAACTACTTGGGCTTGGGGTTGCGTCGGCTGTTACGCCATTTCTCGGTAGCTCTGCCTACAAACACAAACATATCCTGTAATGCAACCCCTTTATAAAAAGTCAAGGTTCAAATTGATAACGTTAAAATTAATCAAAGATCTTTCCGAAGATCATTTTAAATATGTTTTACTACGAAAATATGTCTGTTGGAGTCAGTAATATTCAATCGCGTGAAGATACTTTCCATAAATAAAAGGTAGGCGTCCACAAACGTATCTTAAGTTTTATTTAACGTTTAAAATAAAGTTTCTACAATTACCTAGCAACCAGCATGCGCTAAATTATGTAAAAGTTCTAATTTGATTTAGTCCACCCTGGCCACTGGGTAATTTTGAGCGTTTTTGTACGTAAATCTTATATTAGAATAACAAATTAGATGTAAATGCTCTACTGTGTTAATCAAAATACAACTTAACGACTAAATGCACTAAAGCAAAACCAAGTATAGATTTTTATTTTTTTCATAGGGTATGATTGGTCTTACATTGAAGGGGTCTTTATGGATGAAGTATGAGTAGAAGTTGTCAATAACTCATAATTACCTTCTTCTTTACACGGCCTCTTCGTTTCTCAAACTTCGACGTTTCCATTGAGGCGGCTCGCCGTCTGACTGACTTGCCGGGCTTCGCGTCTGGGTTTATCATCCACCACGAGGACTTCCCGGTTCCTTCGTTCTGCACCCGCATAAACCGGTTGTGAAGTGACAGGTTATGTCGGATGGAGTTCTGTAAAACAAGAATATAGATTAACTTCTTTTATGAAATTAGGGGCAAATGAGCAGACGCGTCACTTAGGCCTCAATTCTGCTATTTTATATTAACGCCAAGCCACTGTCATTCCATTGACACGCTATTGACATGCCACTGACATCGGTCAAAATATCGGTATTCTACTAACGTAAATTCACAGTGTTAATAGACTGTCGATATAGTAATATAGGTCATCAATGGTGATATCAACAACATTGTCATTTCATGAAAATTCAATATATAATTTTCTTACAAATTTAAAATGTACCGTTTGCTAAACTATTACAAAGACATCGACGACATTTGTATCAGTGACAAGTCGTCGGAAGACCATTGGTCTTACATAGTTAGTAGAATAAGAAAAGTGCAAAACTATTCCGACGACATTCAATCGACAGTCTATTGATACAATGTTAAAATAGCAGAATTGAGGTCCTGAGGCCATGATATCAGTCATTGAATAAAATCACAATCACATATGATAAATCATATGATTCATAAATCAATTCTCAAGACCTGTGGCTGATTTACAAAACCACTGCTATTTAATTATTACACTAGCTATTCTCGCGAGAGGTATAAATCTTAAAAAAAGGTCGTAATCATTGATAAAAATAATTTTGATTAATTTTAATGGTATTTTTCATAGTCTATGACGAAATCACAATCACAGGTGAAAAAACGCTGTGATTAAAGCCAATCATTTCGTCAACTAAATATTATTCAGAAGTAGCAATAATTTCCATGCCTGCATGATATCACTCCGATAGAGCCAACGCATGGCTATCGCACGGCCAACCTTAACTTTACTTTACACATATACCTATATATAATCCTTTTCAATTTTAGTGTCTTTTCTCAAAAAGTGTGCAGCACAGTTCGTTTCTGACTGTACCTAATGTTATAAAACAATACGAGAGGTCTCGTGCTTAGCAAAACGAATTAATTGACTACGGATAATGACATCGTACCAGTTTTAAGTTGGTCGATCTAAAGCTGGTTATAGTAATAATAGGAAAATACGGATTAAATTGATTTAAGATGCCAATTTGATGCAAATTATCTGATAAAATTGTAGGTACGGCAAAGTTTAATCATTTCAGCCTTTTAAAAATTTATAAATGTAAAAATTCAAGTCACATATTTTCGTAAAACGTTAAATTATTATTCATAAGAGTTAATTGACACATAATCCACTAACAATCCTTTCAAAAACTTTTCTTAACTATTAATTTCTATAATGGATTCATAAAAGAAATTAGAATAACGGGTTTGACGAAATAACAATAAAAAATTGTTTTCTTTTTTTTAATTTCCGATCCAATGTATTTAAATTAACGGAAAATTTAAAATATGGTTAGCCTAGTATCCTACCGTATGGGCAATCTGCCAACAGAGTCACTCAAGTTCTGTACTTGTAGGTTAAATTTTTTAGTTCCTATGCCTCGGTGATAAAAATGACATTATTGATCATGACTAAGCCATGTACTGATTTACGAAACAGTTCAATGGTAATCAAAGTTCAATCCTACGTCATGATAATAAACGGTATTCTACTTTCCTTTATATAGCACCTTTAGGGGTAAGCATTTTTTAACAAATTTGAAAGGGACGAAACTAGGAGCATAAATAAAAAATCCTAATCCCAAAATTTCAGTCAGTTAAAAAAGGAGCTCAGAACAATATCTTTAACTTCTGAAAATCTAATCACGTAGGTTATTCTCCCATCGAACATCACAAAAGATAAGTAATATATTTTGAAACACTGACATATGTATATTCGAAGTACATGTGAAGCTAATAAAACCGTGTTAAAAATAGATTGCAACCAAGTATAAAGAAACCACAATATCCAGGCGTCTCTTTGTTGACCAGAAAAAAAACCTATTTTAATTTAACCATAGAAAGTTAGTGCAATAACGTGTCCTATCTCACACCGGCAATAAAATCTCACAACTTTTTCTTCGTCGAAGGAATAAATGCGACCGCAGCAACGAATGAAGTTTAGCTATAAAACGATCATAAATATTTTTTGCGTTTTCAGTGAGAACTGCCACTTATGGCGGTACACTTAGTGGCATATAAATATCACCCGCACTATTATGCACATAATATTCTACTTAAAAATTTAGGTAGGTAGTACGGATTTTTCTGTTTTCATTTATGTTCATCTTGGTTGTTCATTTCTCTTTTCAAATGTGAATGTCCCTCTGAAAAAATGAAAATGAAAACTGAAAAAATATGTAGAGTTTACTGGAGTTAAAAATGTCCACAAGTTTTTAAAAAGAAAAAGTCTTCCTGAACTTATAGTTTTAAAGTGGCGGAAACGAGATTCGGATCGAATTGATATTAAAACAGGTCATTATTTTTTGTCATGAAAATATTTACATTCTCGTTCTCATAATTCGAGGGGCGAAGTGATGTGCTTCACATGCCTTAGAGAATATTTTAATCATGTGCTAATGATGAAATTTATGAAGATGATGACGTATACGTTCTATTCATCAAAGAAAGTGATTATAAATTAATTTCATTACAGACGTTAGTCACCTATCCTTTATCCTCTAAAATTTGCAGTGTTGTCACTACAACTATACAATAGAAATGATCCAGGGCCTTCTTTATGTTATTAAAATCGTAAGATGTCGATCAGGGCGAAACCTTTTCTTCTCTTCGGAACTCCGATTCCCGGTTAACCGGTCAGGGCGAGACCATAAACTCTTCTATAAGACTTGTCAATGACTACTATATCTCTTATATGATGGCTTATAGTTTCAATTTATGCGTATGAAAAGAGTACTTACGTAACACGCGCTTTTCAAAATCCATGTGCATAAATCTACCGTGACCTTTAGAGACACCAAAATGCCACCACCATACTGAACGTTAAAATTGATATTTGAGATATTCAGATCAGCTGAGCAAAAATAGAGTAAAGAGTGTAAAGTCATTCTTCAAACACAAAATTTTTAACGATATTTTTACGAATAATTTTCCATAAATGCCTGAGCTATCATCGCTTTGGTTCTAATGCAAGCATTTGAATACCTCTGTCACCACTGTCTGCCTTACAGATATGGATATTTATGTATGCACCGATCCAAAAATTTGTTCCATCTATTTGCGCATCAAAATTGTAGATAACGTCTTAGGTACCCTTGCGATACCTTCGTAATACTATATGACCCGTTTTATTATGGTAAACTTTAAAACCGATCACACTTAGATCGCATGTTTGATTTTTATATTTTCGTTCTCAATATTTAGAATTTGGAATCATTGATTTTTAAAACCTCTGTTTATGTTAAAACAATAAATAAATATTTTTTTGTTATGTTTTGGTATCGTAAGTAGAAGACTATTGCTCACTGCTGGGTACCAAAATAGTTTTAAATATTTGTTCGCATAGGGCCACGTAAATCAAACATCAGCAATTCAGATCAGAATCTGGTATTCACATGGTCTAGCTAAACCATATGAATATCGATAGAACAACATGATCCATGAATCCACTCTGCATATCAGGAACAGATTTGAAAATAATAAGTGTAAAGTAGTGTAAGTAATAGTTATAAGTGGATAGAGAACTCGATACGAGTCCCGAGGACTGCTGTAAATGGCAGTTCAGTATACAAAGGAGATGAATGAGATACATTTAATAGTCGAGTTTGTAGGTTCAAGTTAAGTACACTCAATTAACTTTATGTTATGTTAACAATTGGACGTGTACATAAATCCAGTAAATGTGGACAACTCCCGCGATTTATCAAGCGTGAAAACACACGCAACAAATGGCCTGTCGACGCTTTGATGGATTTGTCGCCAAGAGCCCTTACCATGAATTACGTGCGCTATAAAAGTGACAAGCCCGCGTTGATCTTAAAGCGCCGTCACGGATGTATAAAATCTCGACCCGTGTTTCGCCCAACTTCAGTATCGAGTTTGAAAAGCGAGTAGAACGTGAAAATCCTTGATAACTTATGGATTCATTGGATACATAAACTTTAGTACGAAAAATCTTTTAATACGATAGCTAAGTGATACATTTTATATCAAATGGACACAGTTCTAACTGTTAAGAATTATTGTATAATGTATTTTTAAATCTTTTGAGTCTTTGTAATGAGAAAGGGAAGTGATTTGTGTGTTGCGTTATTTTTCCTGCCAAAATTATTTATAGAAATGGGTAAGGCTCTACACTATATTTATAGAGCCTCAATATTAATGTATCCGATATAATAATTTCAGTAATATAATTTATGGGCAGTAAAGATATATAGTTTGCTGACAAGCAACTAACTTAATCGAATTTTCTGCTTCTGTGACATCACGTGCGTACGCTTTTCATGTAATTTACCTGTTTTTTTTGGGCGGTATATATTATGGTTTATACGGTCGTATTTCTCCACGCTCTAGTGGAGATTGAACGGGTACCGAATGTGGTACTTCGTACGGAGAATACGCGAAATATAATCCAACATGAGGTGACGTATCTTGCTCACTACTGTACTATAAATCTAGAGGTTGTGTCTGTACATCTATAATATTTATGAAAGAATAATCTCAGATGATATTACGGATAAGTGGATCGCAAAAATGGGATTATAAGATTTATCATTTTTGCTTTACATTTTTCTGGGAATATTTTTTGAGGTTGTAATTTTTTTTATGCCTTTGAAACATAATTACAACCTTTAATTTTGTTTACATACACCAGACCCTACCTATTTAAAAATAGCAAATAGAAATCAACATATTAACAAATTCAATCATCAGCTTTAAATAAAATCCATCCATAAATTATTTCGACTTCTGCTTAGGAGGTAAATCTTATATTATATAAAGTTAAGTTTTCTTTTTTTAAATGAGTACCTATCTAACAAACTAACTTGTTAGTTACGTGTAATTTATTAGTTAAATCCCTTCGTTGAAACGATATGTAAGAGCTAGCGTCTCGACGATATGGCTAGATTAACCAATCAAACAGATAACAAACTCAATTATAAACTGTAACAAAACTTCGGCAGAGATACTGTTGTACGAGATTCTAGTACTTTATGGAATGAACATCGCGACAAGCAAATCGCAGCCGGAGCGGCAAGATATTGTACTTAGAATTTTGTCTACCGTAGGATCCATGGCGCCACACCGACCCTTATGGGGTGAATTAACTGTCTACGCTGTCTACGGTCCCCTTTAATGCTTCACCGACTTAAATTTTACCAAATTTCCATCGCTATTATATAGTGTTGCGTAATCTTCGAGCCGAATGGCTTATGATTTCCGTTCTTTATCACCCCGTTTGTTTTCTCAAGGCAATAGCGTCAATTGACGAACTGGGTGATTACTTACGGTATAGTTAACTTCAATTCTGAGTGCCCCAATAAACGGGAAATTTCTATGCTTTAGTATTTATTCGATCAGTATTCATTGGCAGGCAGGTATAATTATTTTGGTTTACTTTAGTCCTTTTTTTTGTGTATACACTTTCAGCTAACTAGTAAGTATATAAGTATTCTATCAGTCCCTCTAGCTTTCATAGTACACGCTCTGCTCAGTTTAAAACTAGATAGCGTTGTGTGTTAATGTTCGAAAATATTATTATTATAATGTACCGGGTAGTGGTGGCAAGTAAAGTGAGTTAAGGAATGGTAACTGACTAAACTTATATGTTAGTATTCTTTGTGATGTAGAATTGAGAGCAATTTATCCGAATCACATAAAGATACCTGCCTGCCTGTTGCTCTAGTGGTTATTGACCCTAACTGCTAAGCCGGATGGCGTGGGTTCGATGCCCACCCGGGACAAATATTGTGTGATGAGCACGGTCATTTGTTCTGCGTCTGGGAGTAATTTAGCTGTAATATGTATGTTATTAAAAATATATAAGTATGTTTATCAGCAGTCTGGTTACCATAGCACAGGCTCTGCCTTGTTTCGACCGTGTGTGAGATATATTATTTTACCTGAAAATTTCACAGTAAATATAGAAATAATCTTGCATCGTTCAAGCATGCTCGATCGGAGGGTGGTCTCGACCGCGTTCTAGTAGTGTCCACCTTAAGAAGGTAGTCTTCTACTATACTGTCTGCATAGATATAAATGCCAAGCAAAAATGTCCTAGAATATCATTGTTAACTAATCTTTAGCCAAATTGGAACGCTTTTATGAATGTGAAGAATTTTCGTGACCCAGTTTGACTTTGTAGTCAAATAATGAATTTTTTGTTGGTTTACACTGAAGAACTACTGGGTGGGGATAAACGTGGAAACGAAACAACGGAATAGCTTTTCGTTGAATAATTCAGTGCGATTATTCTCCTAAGTTGACATACTGAGTGCATACACTATGGACCTCCAAAATGAATTTTAATGCGTTTCAGAGCCGGATACTGATTTTGTTATCATCTAAGATAGGAATAATGTTAGAGTAACTGTCGTGTAGAGTATATTGTACTGAGTTTACATTCATTGCATAATATTTTAGTCTATTTGTAGTTGGGCTGCCATTCTTCGGCACAAAACGGTCCGGCTTAAGCGGAGTGATATCACAGCCTCACAGAATACCAGTATTGAGTAATCAGTCAGTCAGTAATCAGTCTTCAGTGGACCATAGGCTAATGATGATGAACTTCAACTCGCATTAGGAATGTATCCTGTGTCGCGGGGGACTTTACAAACATACATGAAACGGACACAAAAAACCCAAAACACTCCGCGTATTAGAAAGCGGCGTGGCGACCGCTTAATCCACTATGCCATCCGTGCAGTCAAATTTATTCTTTCGTTGGTTTTTATCCTTGAATAAGTTTACCGGAAGTCCAATCTTTCCCCTAACTCTACCCGGAGCGGCATGAGGGGAGGTTTCAAAAGGCGGCAACAACGCTGTTGTACATTTTGAATGTCGATGTCTGTGGGCGGTGGTGAGCACTTACCATCAGGAAATATATCTGCTGGTTTGGTGCCTATACCAAAAAAAATGTCCATGTGGTGACGGATTAAGAATACAGAGTATCTGTGAGGGAACAAACTAAGCACAAAAACAGCACTACAAAGAGAAGGAAAACTTGAAACAAACCCTAAACCAACCCGTCTGGCCAGCGTGGTATAGTAGGCCGAAAACTCCTTTCTAAGGAGAGGCCTATATCCAGCAGTGGACTATTGAAGACTCTTGATGTGATGTGATGACCAAAAAGAACATTCTGTCTTAACTTGTTACAGTGCTATTGAATTTCGTGAATGTAGGGATTGACAATAGCTTATTCGGTGAAGTCGTCAAAGTTATACCTATCAGGTCTCAGAACTTTCTCATAATAGTTTCAACTTTCGTTCAGGTATTACCTAAAGCTAAGTTTCGTTCTATTCCAGGTTTATATTGAAATATTTGCTTCAAGATATGAAAATTGGGCGCGTTTCATCTTAAATGTACAAATTGATTTATTCAACAATAACTTAATCCTTTGCACCGTTTTGCGTTGTAAATTTCTTATCTAAGACTTTTCCAGTAAGAGTTGAAGATTATATAATTACATATAAAAACAATACCTACATACACTAAAAAAAACAAGGTATAAAGACTTTTTCTTTCGTAAATTTAAATTAAAATTGAATTGCCGGAATACTAAAATGTATTTCTATACAAATTTTAAAAAGCATTCGCTTAACAGTGAACGGCTTATTTTTGAAATGAGGGTCAAAATACTTAATGTTGATTAAATTACTTAAATGTGTTAACGCACACGGAAGCTCTTAGACTATTCACGAACACTACTTGTAGTAGAACCAACTCATTCTATGTATATCACATAAGGCGCCTAAGCCCTCTTAAACAGGGCTTAAACCCAACGTTTTAATATTTCCAATAATACGTTTTTAAAACTTATTCAATACCAAGTATGGAGCAAGCTAAAATTCCCCCACTGTCCTTCGGTTTTCAGACAATGCGTCACTAC